GCAATGGGCCCACTTATGAGGCCCCCGCTCACCTGGGTTGTACCCATCCTCAATTACCAATACCAATACCAATGGTGATAGCGTCGGGGCTAATGCTAAAGCTAACAGGCTAAGCTGAGGTTCTTCTTCCATGAAGCAGCTCTGTTGTCCTCCATGCATATCCATTCTTATAGAGAGGGATTACCTCGACTATTTTCATGTTGTTCATATTAGCCGTCTCTTTGATTAGTCATCAGTTTTCCTCCTGCAGCCATGTCTAGAAAGGTTGACTACAGTCCCATGGATCTTAACTTTCTGAATAATATGTGCAGCTATAGTCACAGGAATATCAAGCTGCTTGGAGATGCTTTTATAACCTTTACCTTTAATATGCTTGTCTATCTTTCTAATCTCCTGAGACAACTGTTTCATTGGATTCCTCTGGTCCATGTTGAGTGTGGTCCACACCATGTCCCCAAACAGCTCAGTGAGTATCTGTAGACCTTTATACAGGCCCACTGACTGATTACACGACTGTAGACACTTGTAATGATAATTAGTGGACACACCTTGATTTAACATGTCCCTTTGTTCACATTAGTTTCAGGAGTACCATCATTTCTGTCCAGGCCTGTTTCATAAGTTTTTTAAAATATTTTTATAAAACATATAACAATCTAAACAGGAGAAAACAAAACAAAACCGGTGCATCCCCCTCCCCCATTTTTGTCTATCTGTTGAAGCATGGTTGAAATGCACTGTCTGACTTTCATTTGTTCATTTTCATACAATTTTTCTTTATTATTTCAATTATTTATTCAGGTTTGAGGTTTATTAAAATTTTGGATTGACCAAGAGCACTACACTTGTTCAATAATAAAATGATTCCTCAAAACTACAACTTGCCTAAAAATTGTGCACAGTGCAAGGTTTTGCAGCAGACCTCAATCAGTCACAAAAATCATCKATCAAAACATTTCCATTCCAATTTTTGGGGATTTAAWATGTTTGAATTCACTCACAGAGACAAGTTTTTCCACATTCAGCTGGGTTTGAAGCTCATTCCAAGAGTGAGAGGCAGAATTTTTATTAGCTTTTGGCTTYACTTTAAAAATGAGTTCAATCATGTTTCATTCAAAAGAAACTAGCCATGTGAACAAACAGTAACCTTCTGTACATTTTTAGAGAATGTTTGATATGACAGGAGAAGACTGTGAACAGCTTTGTAAATGATATTATTCCAGTAGCTTAATAAGACACTCCAACCTGATACAACGTACAATGTTGAGTCKGAGTTTAAAGGTTTGTCAGAAATCTTAAATCTCTGAATTAAGACTTTCAGGAGCATGTAAGCATGCATATAAATAAATGACATCTATGTTACCTAACAAAGTTAAATCAACGAAGATTACAAACAGGAAAAAATGATGACAGCAGCTGCTACAACCAGCTCACTGCAGGATATTTAGTTATTTTAGGCAAGAATGCCTTTCTACATGTTTTAAATTGTTGAAGTTTTCTAAAGGGCTGTTAATAGGTCGTTAAACTGACATAATATATGTGATATATGCTGTCCCCATGCTCAGTCATCAGTCATACAAACCTGCTGTATACCAGACAAATTAAAAGTAATGCTGCTCAATGGAGTTGTCACAATTGCCCTATAGTTCAAATAAGTGGATATTTTACAGGCTCGTAGAAGTTTCATTTAAAATAGTCAAAGAAAAACAGGCGCTGCTAGCTCTTTGATGCTGGGAAGGACAGTGAAGTTACAACACAAAAGCCCTAAAACCCAAACTATGAGCTAAAAGTAGCTAAATGTTCTGCAGAGAGACGGTGAGTATTTAGTTCAGAACTACTAGTTTTTATTGCATGTTGCCATTCGGTGTGTTTGATCCAGAAAATCAATAATATTTTATACTGTTAAGAGGAAATATTCTGATTGAACCCTATCATACATCGAAGTATTTATACACAGTGGGGCACTTTATTACATATTATACTGACATTGAATCTGAGTAAAATTATAACTCTGACGTGAGCTCATTTTTCACCAAGACCTTGTTGGACAAAAAAAAACTGGGAAGGAGGGCACTTTTTTAGTGCCTTACTGCTGAGATATTTTGCCTGAGGTGTCTTTATATGCAGCTACTGCAATTTTCAACATGTCACACTGATGACCAGAGAGATATTAACAAAACCAGAGTCCATAACAAGCACCTGAAGGTAGGACACGATTAGTTTTTAATGGGCAGAGCAGACCTTTACGTCACACACATTCTATAACTCAAACCCAGTCAAGCTGACAACTGTGGACTCCCCTGAGGAGCAATCCATCAATGTTGCTCCCCCAGACTATCACTTCTACAGGCGGCTCACGCCATCAATAAAGAGTTGCTCCTGTTCTTGCGGAGGAGGAAGTAAATAAAAAGCCATCTCCACAGTGCAGTCTGCTCCCTACCTGTCCTCCAYCAGCCTGGTCATGCAGCCCTGGCAGTAGAAGCAATAAGTCTCTTTTGCTTGAAGAGTCTCCATCACGCCATCAGGGGACACTGAAGGGGTGCAGGTGGGGTGGGGGTTGGGGTGTCAAAGGCAAACAAACAAATGAGAAAAATGTGGCAAAAGGTTGCCAATGACAACATATAAATAATAAAACATAAAAAATATAGAGTGGTGGGGGTGATTCTGCTATGAGGTGAGCAATCAGTCTGATTGGACTGTCARCAACTGAAACTTTTGTCTATTTCAGCCATGAAACAAAAGAAATGTCAAGAAAAGTCAAATGATGGATTTTGTTGGACATCTGGTTACAGATTTTTATAATTATTATTCCTTTATTTAACCAGGAAAGTCCCACTGAGATTAAAAACCTCTTTTTCAAAGGAGCCCTGGCCAACAGACAGCAAAAATTATACAACATTTACACAGTTATACAATTAAAATGCCATGCAAATAATTATTAAAAACATTTCAAAATTCAAAGAAGTCATCTCTAGTGCCCTCAGTCTGGAATCAAAAGTGCTCAATGGAATCAGTTCAGTTGACCTGTCATTTTGCAACATGTTTCATGTTGATGGAGCAGAGTAAACAAAGGCCCTTTTTTCCAAATTCTGTGCAGGGAAATGGGACAGAGAGCAAGAAATGATCAARTGAATGCAAAGAGTAKGAATCAACACTTCTGTGTGTGATTAGATCACAGATGTAAGATGGTAGCAACCCAAGCAAAGCCTAATAAATAAAATTTACCAATGTCCCAACCTCCTGGTGGACAAAGAAGGCCATCCCACTGGAGTGTTCAGATCAGTGATGGGTCGAAGCTTTACAGAAGCATGATACACAGCATTAATTTTTTTAAGATATTGTGCAGAGGCATTCCTATATAACAGGTCTCCATAATCTAAAATAGATCAAATGTTGCTGTGACAAGCTGCTTTTTAACCTTAAAAGAAAAATATATTTTATTTTGAAAAAAAGAAGCCCAGTTTGAGTTTAAATTTCTTCACAAGATTTTGAAAATAGGGCTTAAAGCTGAGGGAGTCATCAGTCAAGAAGCCAAGATATTTGTATGTGTGAACCATCTCTATAATATTTCCTTCAAGACAGGACACAGTAGGGATCATCTGAGGTGCATTCTTGGTGTTTGCAAATAACATGAATTTACTCGTCAGCATTGAGTACTCATTTTAGCTGCAGGAGTGTGTGCTGCACCATATCAAAAACTCTCTGCAGAGATTCTACAGCTTTAGCAACAGTTGATCCAAAACCGAAAATATTTGTGTCAATCAATCAAAACTTTATTTCTATAGCACTTTACACACCCCAAGGCAACCAAAGTGCTGCGCAACAAAATAAAAATACAGTAATATAAAACATGCAAAAAAATCCCCATTTCCAAAATAAAAAAATATATATTAATAACTATAATACCACCAAGAGCATCTGATCTTCAGATCTCAGAGATCTACCAGGATGATAAGTGTGTAGGTGACACAATGAGAACTAAGGCTGAGTCTAAAATGAGCAAACCCAGGAAGAACCACGGAGGCTAGTAGTAAAATAATAAGTGCTTTATTTTTACAG